CCCGACCGACCCGAGGCCACCGAAGGAGTTGTAGTAATAGGAAAGGGAGGTTACGTTTAGTCTCGGTAGGGGTTGGACTTAACTTTTTTTTTTAAATTGGCTGGAGAGTAAATACTTTCGGTTTTGTGAGTCAATTGGTCTCTGTTGTAACTATTCAACTCTTGCCTCATAGCATGAAAGCAGCCATAGACAGTACGGGTGTGGCTTGTTCCAGTGCAATTTTACTCACAAAGACAGGTGGTGGGCTGGACTGAGCCTGTAAGCCCTAGTTTGCCAATCTTTGTTCTAGGTGATTCCAGCCCCCAGCTGTGTGGGTTTCCCGAGCTGAGTCTCTGGACGTCGTGGAGCAGAGACAAACCATCCCTTCTGTACCCCTTCCCCAACTCCTGACCCACGGACCCCACAAGCATCATTAAGGGTTGTTGTGTCCATCACCAAGTTTCAGGTGGTTGGTTTGTACAGCCGTGGGTAACTGGAACACACCCATTTTACATGCAGGAAAGCTGAGGCTCGAAGAGATTAAAGTACTTGCCCAGAGCCTCACAGCTAGCTAGTAAGCGGAGGAAGCCAAGACTGGCTGCCAGGACTGCCTGCCTTCAGAGGCCAAGTCGTATCAAGTCCTAAGATGATGCCACAAGCAGCCAGATGGTGAACGACGGAGATCCAGTAGTAAAAGCAGTGGGTGTCAGCATGAGACAGAAAGAGCATATGGGCTATGGTGGAGGGGCATGGAAAGGGAGGTCGGAGATGGAGGGAGGGACCGAACTGCGCCTGGCCTTGCCGGCTGCAGTGAGGAGTTGGATTTGTTTCCTCAGTGCAATCGAAAGGCACCGGATAGTTTTTAAGCAGAGGGTGGTGCGGTTTGAATTACGTTCATTAAGAATCACGCTGGCTGCTGTGTGGAGAATGGACTGGGGAGGGGGCCACGCCTTCACCAGCCCGCTGCAGAGAAGGGAGATTACGTCTTGCCAGTGAGCGCTCACAGCGCCGTCGTGATGCCCTTCTGGGTCCCAAACACAGCTGCTGACTTCCCATGTGCCCGGGTTGATCCACACTTCCTCCACCTTCCACACGAAGCCATGAAGACACTGTAGGGCTTGACAAGTCGCCTGTTGGCATCTGTAACCTTTGCCTGTTCCCGTGAGGCTGGAAGTGTCCCTGAGATAGCTCTGGTGCAATCTGACCCACAGATCAAACAAAAGACATGGAAGTCACGCCAGAAACTTCCAGGCCACGATGGAAAGAAAGATGCACAGGGTGGCCCACTGCTGACCGCCACCTGAGGACCAGCCAGAATCCAACCAGACTGGCTACGGCTCAGAGCTCGGCACCCCCACGCATACCCATCTACCTAGCCTCCAGCAGAAGCTCAGAAACAGACTCCTACCCCTTGGTGGTTGGAGTCAGCAGACGTGTCAGAACGCCCAGAACCATGTGCGGAGCTAATTCCGGCAGGTGATGAAACAGCACACAGAGCAAAGAGGGCGGAGTCTGGACCACCAAGGACCCTCTCAGGCTCCCCTCCTAGCCCTACCGTGCCCTGTCAACACATTCATTCTCATTTCCAGATGCCCGCTCCCTAAATTAGACAGATTTCTGGTGCACTCACTCTTCACGGATAGCTGGATGCCCCCAAGCTTTTCTAGACACAAACCACACAGAACGAGGAGAGCCCAGGTGGGCTGGGAATTAAGGGCAAAGCCCCAGGATCAATCCGCCGAGCCCTGTTAGAGCCTTCCTCCCTCCCGCCCCTTGTCTGGCAGCTCCAGCCTGCCCCGGCCCAGCAGAAGCACCACCCCCTCCTCCAATCTCACCTTGTTGATTTTGTTGGTTTTGGGGAGCGTCTGACTGATGTGCAGGTCCGAATACCGGGGTGGCTTTCGTAGAGGGTTGTTGATGTCACACGGGACGGACTCTGTCCGGACTAACCTTGCTGGATCCGTAGGGGTAAAAACAGCGATTTGGGAGTTTAAGTACCACGTTCGCTACACACTGTGATGCCAGGAAAGCAGAGCTCTGACCCCACCTCAGAGGCCCACCCTCAAGGCTGGAAGAGAATTCTCTAAAAATGAATGTCATTGTGTCACGACAGTGAGACACTGCTCCTGCTAACCAGTGTACTCTGTGGTTTCTAAAATGTTTATATCGTCTATATATGACTTTTGACAAGTAAAAATTATAATAATGAAACTGAAGCTATTAGAGGCCCCCCCGACCCAGTTCCATAATTGTTGCATATTGGCATTCATTTCAGAACTGAACATCCTTTGAAAGTCAAGAGGTTCCTGATTTCTCCGGGGCTGTCAATCAGTGGACAGGCTCGTTGAGGCCACCTGTCCCTGCTCCCACCTAAGCTTGTCTTAGGATCATCTTTCGTTCCTTGTGAGATTTCTCAGGCTCCAGCAGTCTGAAGCACGTCAAAGCACATCTGTCCTGAGCAAGGCCACTGTAGAGCCTTGAAGGAAGGTCTCAGCTCCCCCAGCCTCCCCTCTGCCCCACCCCTAAAGGCATACGAAAAGCGGGGCATGCAGGGGATGCTAAATAAATGTGTCCTGACCCAAACCACATCACCCAAGCCTCTCTCCCTGTTACCCTTCTGTTATTTCTACTATTTACAGGGACCAGAGCGAGGGGCAAAGTCAGAAGCTCACATTTGATGCCAGATAATGTCATTTGTTTGCTGTTTTTTCTTGTGGGTGTGGGGTGGGGACATTGGTTAGCCTGGGCTGCCATCACCATGGAAACCAACTATATTTTCGCCTTCCTACCAAGGAGTTGGGGAGCAAGAAGCTGGCGGACTTCTGGAAAGTTCTGTTTGCTTTGCATAAACAGCACCTGCCGCCTTTGAGTGAACGGGTGTGGCCATGAAGGCGGGTGGGAGGGAGCCCTTCTCCAGATGCCAGCCTCTGAGAGCGGGTCGCCTCCCAGCAGGCTGGTTCTGGTCTCCACGTGGGAGTCGGGCTCCAGGAGCGCCCACTACGGAGGGGAATCTGGTGGGTGGCAATTTCCCCAGTGAAGCTGACCCAGGACCAGGGCTCAGGAGCGGTGAGAATTCAGGTTGAAAACAGCCTCGTGGCTGTATACGGCTGTCCCAGGAACAGATGGTTCTTAATTAAGGATGTGAGGTGAGAGGGGGCAAGAAAGGGGCTGAAGACCTTTCATTCTCTTGCAATTTCCTCTCCTGCTGGAGGAAAGCAGTGCAAAGATCATCGAAAACCCACGGCCCATCGGCTTCGGAACACACGCCAGCACTTTCGGCAGCAATCTGCCTCTGCCTTTAGGTTTCCCTTGGGTTCGTTGGAGAACAGGGCAGACTCCCCTGAGCCTACACTGTCCTGTGCCCTGGAGAGCTGGGAGGGCTGCAGGAGGAGGATGAGGACTGGCAAGCTGTGTTCCCGAAAGTTGGCTCTAAGCTTCCATCCAATCTATCAATGGGTGGGGAAGTGGGTCGTGCGTGGCCGGGAGGGGGCCAGCAAGAATTTAAAAAATTTTAATCAGTTGCTAACATTTTAAAATAAGTATATGGCACATAAAACTATTTGGACTTTCTTTTCGAAACAGGAAAAATGCCACATCGCAGGGTCACGTGGCTGGAGCAGCCACCCTTTCCGGATGGTGCTTGGGCTCTCTCTCCACTTTGTGCGGCCCCCTGCGGCCAGCTTCTCTCATTTAGGGTGCTTGCTTGGCCCTGGCAGGTATCTGGGTTTGCATCCAGGGCAGTGCTCCTCGACTTTAAAGCACAGGGGAATCGCCTGCAGGTGTCATTTAAAACACAGATTTTGATTCAGCAGAACTGGAGTGGGGCCGAAGGTGGTGCGTTTCTAACAGGCTCCCAGGTGATTCCCGTGTTCCTTCTGGTCCGTGGACCACAGGCAGAATAGCAAGGGTCTGGACCAGCGATGTCCGGAGTGTTCTATGTCTGCACTGCCCAACATGGTAGCCACACGTGGCTACTGAGCCCCTGAAACATGGTTGCTGTGATGGAGTAATTACATTTTTTAAAATTTTTATTTCATTGCAATTAATCTAAATTTAAATAGACGTGGCTGGTAGCTACTGAACTGAACAGCAGAGGCCTAGAGAGTGCCCAGTGGATGAACTGCAGTGTGGATCATGGGGTCTGGGAATAATTATCCACAGGACAGGAATCAGGGGAACCATTTTGAAAGCTGGACTACAAGCCTTTCCAAGGAAGTGCCTCCTATTGAATCCTTGGCGGGCAGAGAAGGGCCTTTCCTTCCCATGAAATTGGTCTTGCTCTTGCACAGTGGAAGGCTGGTAGTGTCTCTCCCAGAGGTACCTCCCTGCCTTGACAGGTTGGCCCAGATACTCCCCGGGCCCCAGGAGATGGAACACAGGTGGCCCAAACCAACAGGCCCAAGCAAGACCCTCCCCGTGCCCACTTCTGCAGGGCCAACTGACTGAGTCTGAAAAGCACATAAGGGAAAAACACTCAGCCTGCACTCTGTTTAAGTAGGAAGGAAAAGGAATGGGGCTGGGGGAAAGAGAGAAGAGTAATAATTAGGAGAGAGGACAAGAATGAGAGAAAAAGACTTAGTTAGGGAAGGGGAGATGAATCTGGAGGCTAAAGTATCAGAGAGACCAGCACGAGGGCAAGGAATGGGGAGAACAGGAATTGGAGGTGGACTAAGGAGACAGATTTCAGGAAGAAGAGAGTCAGAGGGAAAGAAATGAGACAGGCAGGCATCATGGATCACGGGGTATCCAGAATTGACCATCTCAGATAGCCTGCAGGGGCCCCCAACCAACCCCTACCCAAAGGGCAGTAAGTGTTAAATACTTACCTCCTCGGTGGATGATCAGGAGATGACAGGGTGGGGCTTCTTTGGTGCATTTGTTGTGGCACTTTAACCTGAGAGAGAGAGAGAGATGGTAGGATGTTTGTATGGATGGATAAATGGATAGACAAATGGATAGGGGTGGATGGATGGTTGTTGGGTAGATGGATGGATGGATGGGTAAATGGATGGACAAATGGATAGGTGGGTGGGTGGATGATGTTTGGGTAGACAGATGCATGGATGAATGGATGGGGTGGATGGATGGATGAATGTGTGGGTGGATGGGATACCCCAGCTGTTCAGAGAGCTCTGGGTGCTGTGGATAGCAAGATGGGAGGTGACATTGGGCAGCTACTGCAAAGGCATATTCTTGGCATCTAGGAAATGAATTCTGGAGAGAGTTTGCTACAATCTCATTCTCACAGGCTCACAGGTCAGTTGTGGTTAGTCCAAGAGCAGTAGCAACTGTTTCACCAACAGTGCCCACTTGGACTTCACACTTTGAAAGACATTTTCCCCCATCCATCTGTATTTATCATCATCATCCAATACTAATAATCATCTACTGTCTACTTGAAGACTCATTTCCCAACCATTGTACTGAACATTTTATGTAAGCTATGTCACTGGATGTTTATAACAACCTTACAAAATAGGTATTAGATTCTTCCCATTTTACAGATGGAAAAACTGAGATTAACTGACTTGTCCTGGCAGAAATCCCGGGTCAGTGACACCAGAGGTGGACTCATTTTTCTTAAAGGCTCAAGCTATAGGAGATAGCCAGCCAACCATTCCAATTAGGAAGAGACTGGAAACAGGTATTAGGTTTCAAAGGTACTACGTTTAAGAGTTTAGAGTAAAAGTGTCTTCCTTTGAGACAAGTCCAAGACATCATCTGGCTCTTCCCCATACCGTTGCCAGACTTCGAAGAGTACCATCACCTGGCTTGGTCCTTTTCTTTTGGTGTTTTACATCCACAGGGTGGATACGCACTGTGGCAGATACTATCAATGCTCCACCCACATCCTTTTGGATCCCCTTACAGTTTTGTGTGCACCAGATTATCTTCCAACAGCCAACGTCTTTGGCAGAAGGCCACCCTCAGCCAGCTTACGTGTTTAATATCAAAATACTCTACACAGAGAGGTGGGGATTTTGGATTTGCCCTCCACCCTCTTCCCTTCTAGGGATTTCACAGTTCTCTTTAACAGCATGGTGTGGAAGCCCACACAAGGACTTGACATTGACTCAATTATTCTAGCTCAGTGATTCTCAAAGTGGAGTCTCCAGGCCAGCAGAATCAGCACCACATGGGAACTTTTCAGAAACGCAACTTTCGGGGCCCCATCCCAGATCTGACGAATCAGAGACCCTGGAGCTGAGATGCAGTCATCTGTTTATTGAGCCCTCCTGGTGAGTCTGATAGGTAGGTGCGGAGGTATGAGAACCACTGCTCTAGCTGATTGTTTTGGAATGTCTGTGCACATTTCCCCAATATTTTATGGCCCTCACAGGGCCCTGAATTCCTCTCTGATATGGAGATGTTAGGCCTGGGGCTACCGGGGGTGCAGAGGGGAAGCCAGGAGGGACGTGGGCAGCATGAAAGAATCACATAGTGGGAGCGTCAATCCATCTCCAATTCTCCTTCGCTCCGATTGCATCAGGGGCTTCCTGTGCTAACAAGCAATTACATCTCTCGACCACGTGCTAACCCCAGCCCCAGGTTTGGACAGGCAACAGTATTCACGGGGAACTGAATAAATTCATTTTTTCCATTTGAAGGTCTATTTTTTTTCTGCTCGACTGATATTCATGGCAAGTGAAGCTGATTTTCTATCCATGATTATAAGATATGTTTTCACCCTTAAACCAATTCATTTGAGTGAAAAAGGACACAAATGGTAAATAGATAAATGCAGGGCTGCTTCATAAATAAGACAAAATCATGACAGGGTGCTAAGTGGATGGCTGAGTTGGGCTGGAAAAAGTTGGCTGAGAGAGACAGTGTGAGAACTTCAAAAAGAGGCGGCAGCTCTTGGCACCCGAAGTCTAAGAGGGTTGAAAACGTCAGGAGGTACAATTGGTCATGAACATTTTAAAGACTGTATGACTCTGAAAGAAACAAGAGCTAAGATTTACGCATGCACCAGGCAATGGTCTCAGGGCTTTCCATCACTTATTTAACATTCATAACAACCCTAACAAGTAGGAACTTTTGTTACCCCCATTTTACAGAGTGAGAAACTGAGGCTCAACAAATTTGAATAACCTGCCCAAGGTCAAATAACTAGTAGTAGGTCCCGAGTCCAGCTCTAACTATGCCAGATTCTTCTTGCTTTACATCCTGGGGGTGGGGATGAGTCAGGGGAAGGCTCCTGGGGTCTGTAAGTGGCTGAGTCAAAATGTCTTTTTTTTTTTGAGCCTAAGATGTCACCATGCTCTCCCACTACAGAAGTCTGAATTCACAAGGTATTGGAAATTCCACGTTACTGCACCCAGCATCGTCTTTTCTTTTCTGAGGCCCCCAGATTCTCAAATGTATAGGGAAGGTCCCAGCCCCCGTGGAGATAACTAGCGTTACATCAAAACTCTGATGGGACGCTCTGCTGTGCGTGAAATCAGCCTTTAATTCATTCCACAAACACTTAACTGGGCCTGCTGGGCCCGCAACGGTCAGGCCAGATGAAGACCCTAGGTTTATAGGGAGGGTTAAAAAACACGAAAACAAACATCGGATGTCGCAGGTGTGATAAGATGGTGGAAAAAAATAATACAGGGAAACAGGATGGAGAGTGATGGGAGGGGGAGGGGAAAGGCTTAGGGGCAAGATCGAACCTGGTGGGTCCTGGGGTCAGAGGTTTAAGGTCAATGAGGCTGAAGTGAAGAGAACCAGAGTGCAGCGAAGGCTCGAGGAAGGGGAGGTGGGTGGAGCCCCAGGACATCTGTATTTGATTTACAAACACCGGAGGCCTTGGACGACTGTAACACGGTCGGACTGATGTTTGGGAAGCCCTGAGCTGGGGAGACTGCTGATGCCAAATGACAGCCGAACCAAGAAGTTTCTGCACTCTTTCCTGTTTGAAATGGCTCAACTCCACCCGGAAGCTTCCAGAAAGAGATTCTTCCCTTCTGCCGCCCCCACCTTGTCAAACGAGCCCAGCTGGACGGCTGACTAGCAGATGTGAAGCAGAGCGCTTCCTCTCGTGGGCAGCTCCACAAGCAGAGGGCGAGCAGCTTAACATAAGCTGCGGACCATGTCCGAACCAGGACCAGGGAGACGAGACCGCCAGTGACCTCGGCCAGTTTCCTGCCTGCCCGTGGCATTTTCCCCTCTGTGTCCAAGTGGCTTGTCTCTCCCACTAACGAAGCAGCCCTCCTCCACCTCTGGCTTAAGCGTGGGAGACGGAACGTCCATCCTTTCGGCCAGGGCAGCGCTGGGACTGGGAGCAGCGCCACTGCTGGTGCAGGAGACCCAAGAGAACGCTCTCTGATGCCCAGACACTTCAACCCTGCACAGAGGTTCACGTGTCAAGGGCGAGAGTCCTCCCATCCAGGACCTGCTGATCGAGTTAGCAGGATCAGCTCAGTGATAAAACTGCACAGACCCTGGACGGGTGGGGATACAGGGCTCGAGGCCAGACTTTTGCATGATGCAGACATGATGCCCCACTTACGAAGAATCATTTTTCCAGCGGGGAGCACGCACGATTCCACCCAAATTAGACTTCTCCTTTTCACTGCCCATGAAAGAGAAGAACTACTAGCATGCGATTTATCGGTAGGCCAGGGCTAAAACACACCTGAGGGCTCACAGGGGATGCCAGGCGAACCTCAGACAGCTTGGAAATTTGGAAAGGGTTTATTTAAAACTCTCATTGAAAAGAGTTCATTTTTTTTCAACTTCAAAGGCTGATAGGATAAGCCTCAGTTATCAAGAAAAGTTGCTTACGCGGGGTATCTCATTTTCCCAAGGAGCTGCTAGCCAAATGAGACATCCTCTCCGTTTGAAAATTCAATATGAGAATCTATCTTGAGGGCAGGATCTGGGTCTTCCTCATCTTTCAGCCACCTTTCCTACCCCGCTTTCAGTGCCTGGCGTGGTGGCTGGTGCGTCACACATGCTGAGATATTGGAGAGATGGAGGAGAGAGGAAGAGAGAAGGAAAAAGGAAGGGCCAGCAGAAGGGAATGCTACTGGTGTGAGGGTATTAATAGTCTCCATCGAAGCGGGGGGAGGGTACAGCTCAGTGGGAGCGCATGTACTTAGCATGCACGAGGTCTTGGGTTCAATCCCCAGTACCTCCATTAAAAAAAAGTCTCCAACAGATTTTTTAAAAATGATTTCTATTTCTTATAAATGGCATCCTCGCATTTTGTGAAACACAAAAATGTCCCTCTCTGCATTCCCTTCTTCTATCTGCCTGCCTTCCTCCCGATGTAGGGGTGGGAGACAGGGATGTGACCAGAAGCAAACTGGACTTACATGGATCTAGCCCGGGAACTGGGGGGGCACAAACGTCCCCTTTTATAAGCTGCTCTGCTGTCCCCTCAATGGATTTGTCACAGCCCCCAGCAGCCCCGTGGAGCGAACACAAGCCCCGAGACTGGCTGGGATCAGAACGCTAATCTTCCTGGAGGAGGGACCATCCAGACTCTTGCTGGTGGAGACAGTCACAACCATTTCAAATGGTCCATTGGGTGATTCTAACCGACTTAGGGAAAGCTTGCTCCAGGCAGCCCAAATCCCTGACTCTTGCTCTCGCCCCACTTCATAATCCACCTGAGAAGGCTCAGCCTTTCCTTACTGAGCGCAAATGGGACATTTTCAAAACCTGGCCCCTAACATCCAACTGAGGAGATGTAAAGCAAACACCATTGTGGGACCAGGCACGCTTACCTAACCCTGAACAACTCTGAACAAGAATCTGTTACACCCATTTTAAAGCTGAGAAGACTGAGCAGCTCAATCACACAGTTAGTAAGTGGCAGAGTCAGGATGACCATTCGTTCGTGCCTGCAAAAAACATCGCTGCCTTCCTCCTCTGTCAGGTGCCGTGCAAGGCACTGGG